ACGCTTCTAAATATTATAAAATGCAATTGTATAAGGAATTTTGAGTTCTATACGTGTCTAATTGCCTAAGATGCATGAAAAATCTGTTCTAAACGTATAGTTTTCTTCATCTTCCTCTGAATATCCTTTGTACAAGTAATTGTATTTAAATAAAATACAATTACTTGTACAAAGGATATTGAAATTAATGTTTTAATTCGTAAAAAATGTTTAAAATAACAATATAATAAAAAATTTGTACAAAGAAATAACAAAATTTTCCGACTGTTGTCATTGTTTGTCATTTCTCAATTGCCATCAAGTAGGAAAACGTTAGAAATCGATACAGATTTTTAATTTTTTTAAGTGCTGTTTCATTAATTAAACAAAAATAAATTATTATTTTAATAAATTATCGGTAGAAATTAATTATTTTAATATAAATGGTTTTAATTATAACGAAATTTACGTCTTTAAATGGATAAAAATTCAATGGAAAAATAATAAAATTTATTAAAATTCTTTTATAATTTAATAAGAATTTTTGTTTTGTATAAAATATTTTTAAAAATTTAAACTTAATAAACAGTAACTTAATTGGATAAATATATCTTTAAATCTTTCAGTTCAGAGGAAGAATTTTGGATAAAGTAAATTGAAAATATTGCTTAATAAAAGGTAAATTTAATTTAATTTTTATAGAAAATTTTAAATTTGAGTTAAAATTTATTAAAAACTAACGCTTATTTTAACCATATTTAATTAAATATTTTATTATATCCTTAAACATAAAACAACATCTCTGAAAGGATGAAGAGGAAGAGGAGAGGATGCTGAGTAAAAGGTAAAAGATAAATTATATTTAATTTTTAGAAAACATTTAAAATTTATTTTAAGCTAAAATTTATTCAAATTAACGCTTATATAACCACATTTAATTATAAATTTTATAATTTTCTCAAACGTAAAACAAAATCTCAAAAAGGAGGAGGAAAAGAGAAAGAGAGAGAGAGAGAGAGAGGATGCTGAATAAAAAAAATTGGGAAAAAATTGATAAAATTTTGAAGTGTATAAATCTTATATTCCTTCAGTTTAGTTATAGCTTAATTCAAAAGGAGATATATAGAAATAAACAGTAAAAGCCATCTGTAATTGGTCACAGAAGATCGGTGCCGTTCCCTGTAATCAAGGTTCGGATGACACAATGATGTCTTGCTCCTGTTCTAGGACACATCACAACGACTGACAATTGTCCGCTAGTTAAGTCGTCTGACACAAGATGGCTCTTATTACGTTTTCCGTTTTAACCGTCTGGAGTGACGTCTAATGTTACAAGTCGAACTAACATGCCATACTCGGATTACAGGCAAGCGATTGAAGAAATCATCTCGTCAATGCTTCCCCTACCTAAATCTGTGGTTCTCTTAGTCACTGACTACACATGACAACACACGGCACCCCCCTTTCGCATATATTCTTCCTACTCTATGCATTTTTTTATCACGTTTATTTATTATTATTTACACTCATCCTACGCTCCTCCGCATCTTCACTCGCACCTCTTCATCCCTGTTTATTAAATTCAATAATATTTTCCTCGATCTTTATATAAAAATTTAACGTTTAATCTTCAAACTCGTCCCGTTTTACACCGCCGTCTTCGAGTTTTTAGTTAAAATAATAGGTATTTAAAGGCGCGAGTTACGCATCATCCAGTGAAGAACTCTGGAATATTTGTGTTAAAAGTGTGAATTAACGATGGTTTTTGAAAGGAATTTTAATAATATAATTAAAATTTACTAACTTTTTATAGTATTTTCTAACTAGAAATTCTGATGCCGATATACACAAGCTTGTTACAGGTGCTAAACGGAAAATAAAGGAATTAATTAGGTGTAATATGCTCTGATTAGGATGCATTGTGTTAATTTCAATGAAAAAAAAAACAGTGGCTTGAGACTAGTATGTTCTAAAGCAAAATTAAGCTTAACAATATGATAATGGTTAATCATCATGCCTGATTAAAGATATATAATGCAAGCTTAACAGTAGATAATAAAACACTTTAAGACAATTGCTATAATAATAATTTATGTTAATATTACTATGACTTTTCATTCGACAACAACTTGAGGGGATGAATATATGAATTTCGAAAAAATAAGCTCTATTGTATGTGCTTTATGAAGCTTAGAGATAACTATAATCAAGCAAAGTACTCAGAAATAGTTTATTATAGGTTGTATCTCTTCAATAAACCTCCAATATTTCGAGGTGAAAAATGCATTTGCACAGCCTTTATGGCGAGTTTACAAAGGATTTGTTATAAAAATTAATACATTTTCTTTACTTTAAGGTTAATTATAAGGTTTAGAATTGAATACAGTTAAATATATTTAGTTCTTAAGCATAAAAACAGTAATTACAACCATTCAAACTAGAGAAGATGATTGGTTATTTACCTATTGAAGCCATGTCAATCGAAGGAAAGTAAACTATTGTTAAGGGAGGAAAATGTGCTTTTACGCCTATTGAGAAGCATATGTTAACTTATTCTTCCCTTCAATTGTTGCTTTAGAGGGGTCTGAAGAGAAGAGAAATCATAGAAAGAGACTACCTTGAGTGGTTAGCAATTGGTCCTTTAAGTGGGGCTGTTTTTCAGACTAGGAGTACCTACTTTTACCCCCGTGTTTAAATACTAGACAAACGTCTGATATAACAATACAGTCATACAGTTTAGTTGAGTGATCTGTTCAGATAAATGTCCAAATGTACAACGGATCAGAGACGGGAGATGGAGATTAGCATTGAAAAGCTCTTGGGAAATTCAAAACAGTTGAATAGATCTAAGCTTAATTGCTGCTAGACAGGCTCACATTTTGACAGAAATTCTCTTCATCTTCCTCCCTTTTTTTTCTATCTCCTATACACATAAAAGCAGAGGTAAGTTTCTTTCTCTTACTATACAAAAAAACACTGGACTCTATGTAAGATAATTCGTTAATTCTCATCATCCGAGCCAAATTTGACAGTTGAAACTTCATGTAATAGTAAATTATACATTTGTCTTACAATTTTATACATTTTTTCTCATAAACTATGACAAATTTATATTCATTTACTTCATTTTCCATCTTGTAACCTTTACTGCAAATTTGCCTCTCGAAAAAGTATTTAAAATTAATTTTTTAATGTTTTTTAACCAATTATCTGATGTTTACTTGATAAAAAATTACTATTAAACTTTTATGTTAACTTAATATTTAATGTATAAACTTATAAAAAAAGTTTTATTGATTTAAATGTAGGAGTTACTTTTAGCAAACTATTCGTATATTTGTATATGGACTATTTAACTAAAATTCACTCTTACTTAAAATTCTATATTTTATGCTTAAATTAATTAAAATTTCTCCTAATATTTAAATATTTTTATATCAAATTTTTAATAAAAATCTAAAGTAAATTAATCTGAATATTTCAGGTCAAATTTCCGACTTTCCAAAGCTTAGAACGACTCATTTAACCGTTTAGGACATAAACTAGGAGTCATATTTGCCATTTTGAAGGTTTTATTTTCCCTCCAGATTTAGTGGTGAGTTAAATTTAGAGGTTTATTTCTGTATGTTACGTTAAATTTAACCAATGGCAATTGGTTGAAAAGAAAATAATTGAGAGAGGGAAGATTGTAATCGAGGGAATTCGTAAGTTCAGGGATTTCTCCCCAAATTTAGGGAAGAAAAGAAACTGTTTTGTAAATTAAGTATAGATTAAAATTAAAGAAAACTCTGCCAAAATTTTTTTCTTTAAAACAAATAATAAAATTGATAACAACAGAAGTAGCAGCAGAGGCATATTATTGCAAAACTGTAGTTAGTTTTAAAGGTATTTCCCATCACATTTAGAGGTTTTTTTTGAAGTATTTTCTGTTATATTTGTTTGTTTTCTGGGATAAGCTGACAGCAATACCTTAGTTAATAACGAATAAGCGAAATAAAAACGTTTATTCATTTAAACGTTTATAAACACCTTTTAACGTTTGCTAATTAATTATGCATAAACACACGATTAGCCCCAAGCTGTGTCCTTCACATTTTTCAAATATTCTAGAAAGTTTTTCGTTTGAACACATTTTTAATGGGCCAAATGAGCTTTTACTCTCAATTTTAAGGATCTTTCGTAGTAAATATCTACTAAAATTTCATTTGATTTGTACAATTAAATTCACGAATAACACCTGAAAAACGTGCAAGCCATTGTAATCGGTATTTTGTAAGAGAAAGCAGGTGGTCGTGTTATTTGTGTCGTAAATTAGGCTAATCCAGCTATTATTAAATTCGTTATAAACCTGAAATTACGGAGTATGGTTAATTTACTCGCATATTAGCAATTTTGCGAACATTTATTTAAAAAAGAAAAAAATAATAATAATAATTCTAATTTTAAGTTATAAATAGTGATATTATCCCCCAAACTGGGACAATTTTAAGAACGAGTAAGTTTAAAAATGGCTGACCATAATATATTTTATTTATGTATTAACAAATCAATATTAACTGCATAATAAATAAATTATTACCGTTTTTTTCAAATTTAAATTTTTAAATTTAGTCACTAACGGCTAAAAACAAGCGAGCGGTTAATTTAGTTTTTTTTAAAAAAAAAAAACACGCTCCAGCCAATAGAAAAATCTCTGATATTTTACGTAATAATTAAAAAAAACACCCCGAAGGGGGGCGGGAGAAGTAAAATACGTCTGTTTGAAAATTTGAGTTTTTTAAAATGTCAATTTCACGAAATCAATACGAGGCTGTTACGTTGCTTCCGGCAAACGCGACCAATCAGAATCGAATACGAGTAAAGAGGCGGTGTTTGGAGAAGGCCTGGTTTTTCCCTATTAGATACCAACTCGTTAACAGCCAATCGGCAGACTCGAAGCGCCTAGCTCGCCTTAGTCGCCTGTTTAACCAAGTGTTTTCAAATAGTCGCTTTGAACTATCGTGTTTTCTTGATAGGAATGTTTTATCCGGATATAAACGTTTAAATTTTTTCTAATTTTTATGAAATATGTCATCGAGATCGTCAACACCTCAACCTATAGTCGAACAAACAGTATCTAAAGAACCTACTTCACCCGCTAGAAATCCATTTTCTATTAACAGCATCCTGAATAGGAAAGAAACTAAACGTAAATCGTTACTGATTTGTGTACAAGATCAAGAATGTGCTAATATAGAAACTACGGCTGCTGTTACGCATTTATGTTACGATCCACATTTACCTTCCGTTATTGGGACCTCTGTGTTACCAATTTCTCCAATTGTTGGTTCTGTTCCACGTAAACCCACACCGTGGTATCCCTGGGCACAAGTAACACCAGATAATGTACAGATATCTCTAGAACATTCAGCAGGTATGTTAATTATTATTATTTTTCTAACCTTTTTATTCTGTATACATATACCTAGGTTTTCTGATGTGAAGGTGTGTGTTTTGTGCTGTTCTACGAGTCTTGATCATAGTTTTAACGTTTCGTATCTCGTTTCCACGCTTGTTTAATGTATATAAAACCCATAACATTTTCTATGGAGGAGCTCTCCAAGTATAACGTTCGAATGTTATTAATAAAAATTGCTTATGAACGTTATTATTATTATTGCTTTTGAACGTTATTAATAAAAATTGCTTATAAAAAAAGTTGTAGTTTTATCAACGTGTTAGTAAAGATGCTTTGCACTCTTGGAAAAACTAAAGATAAAAGCGCAAATTAAAATGTTCTAACTTAAAAATTATACGTTTTATCGAATTTTTAACGTTTATACTTTATAAATTTAACTTTTATTCGAGTTTTAATGGTTAATTTATTAATAAAAGTCGTTTATAAAAATGTTGTATGGACTTATTCATCATAAATGAACGTGCTTCATACGCTTGGAGAAACTAAAGAAAAAAAAACGAAATTTACAATTTATTAACTTAAAAATTGCTTCATAAAATTATTTATAATAAAATTATAACATTTTAAAATTAAAATCATGTAAAAATATTTACTTTAAAGCGAATTAATTAGGAGAAATTGCAACGTTTTAATCACTTCTATACGCATGCTACTATATAGATTAATTTAAAGTAAGGTTTAATGGCTTTAAAACCTTATAAAAACTTATAATTTTGTTTTTATATGAAGATTTAATAAAGAAATTTATTATAAATGATATAATTATCGATCGAAACGTATAAAATTTTAAGTAAATCAAGGAAGAAAGAGAAGATACATTAACTTACCCACTCGATACATTTACAGAACCATTATTGTGATCGTATATAATTTATTTATCGAATGGAGCCTATAGGCAGCAATATTTTAAATTGTTATAGTTCTATCCAGTCCATAAAAATCTAAGTTGGAAAATCAAATAAAAATTGTGCAATGAGTTCAATTGTGTAGGCTCTCTGAGAGCATCTCTGTATTGTTCTATTTTCTATTTAAACGTCCATTGGGAGTTCAGAGACAATGTTTCTGTCTATTTGAAGTATTGTTCTTCTTGAAGTGATCTCTTTCCGGATGCTCTAAGACATCAAACCTTTTTTTATTATATCAAGAAGGGGTAATAAAAATAGAATCACAATTTATCATCATTTCATAAGGATACGCTCACCAATACACTTTAAAACAATTAATTAAACATTATTTAATTAAATTTCAGTTATTCTAACACATTTTTAAGCTTATAAACATAAAAAAGCACACTAAAAACTGTATTTTAGAACATTTTTAAAATCTATTTTCTTCCTCATCTGATGCGGATTTTAAGAGGATAAGTCTGGGTAAATCGTTATATTTAAGGAGGAAAGAAAAAAAAATTAAAAGAAATTTATTACCAGTGATATAATTTATTAATTTAGAGTATAATGCTATATATTTTTTTTTCGTACATTCCGTTATTTTGTCACAGTCTGTATGACTGTAAGCTCTTAACAAAACCATCAAACTTCATGCTATGTGACACGTGTCTTGTTACTGTTATCACCATGATGGTTAGTGCTTGTCAGCTTATCGATGATAGGATGCTAGTTCTTTGCTTTGTCAACCTCTAGACACTTTCATTTTGTTCTACACACTTCATTTTCGAACTTACTCGCATTACATGATTCTCCAGATACATTTCAATTAATGGAGTTTGTATCGATTCCTGATTCAATTAATATCAATAAGCGATGCTTACTACAGATTTATTAATATATTTTCTCGTTATATAACTTAATTAATACTTAATTTACATATTTATTATTGTATATCGAGCTTTAGATATGCTATTTTCTAGTCAGTCTATAGAAAATACAATAATATTTAACGAGCAGCATTTCCAATCTCCTTCACTCTACAGGCCTATAATTATAGTATAAATATCAAATTTGAGTAGGTAAATTTGCTTTAATTCGTAATTTAACACTACAAAGCATTAAAATTAATTAATTTTATATAAATTCGACCATTTTTGCTTCAAACAATGCTTCGTTTTGTGTATAATACGCACTAAACTCTAAAAAACCGAGCGAATTTACATGAAAATCATTAAAAGTCTTCTGTTTTGAGGAAAGATAAAGGTGAGAATTCGGATTTATATTTTTCTTGGTTATTTTTATAGGAAATTTATGTTTTGAATTCATTTTAGGACCTATAATTGAGTGTCTATGTTAGTAGCGTGTAGCAAATTAAATGCATTTAATGCAGGTCACAGTATAACTCGGATATCTTCTCTTAGAATAGTCAGCCATCCAGATAACTTTCATTAATAATAGTTTGTCAAGCCTTGGGGAACACTTTCAACTTAAACATCCAATTCTAAATCGTACTATCTAAATGGAATTTCAACTTATTTTAAATCTCTAAAGATGAATAAATTTTATTGTTAAATATAAACGAAATCTTTAGAGAATATTAAATTTAACTTTAAAATTATAAAATATATAAAGTTTTGTACACATATTTTACATTAAATAAGAAAAATTTAGATATTAAATATAAGAGAGAATCGCATTTGAAGCTTCTCGTCTTCCCGCATCATTTAAGAGACTTTTATCTTTTAAGCATTAATATTGAATTAAATAATTAATAAAGGAAAATTTAATTTATATATTTATAAACTTTATAAAAAGCTATTTTTAATTATAATAAAACAAATAACGTAAATGTTTTTAATCTTTTTTTAAAAAAGACAAATGTGTGCCTATACATTATCAGTTTGCAATGCGCGCTACTAAAATTAAATCTTTAGCGCAATTTTTGCATAAATTCTAATAATTTTTGTGCTAAAATCATCTAGATTTGTTGTAAATTTATATTTTAAAAGTTTCTTTTATTTATTCATTATATATATTTTTTAATTTATAAAAAAATTGTATACCATTGCGTGTAAAGTTTGCGTACATTATATATTTTTTTTGGAAAAGTACAGTTAAAATGTGTTTAAATATTGTTTTAAATTAATTTTTATACTTTATAAAAGGTGTAGGAGCATTACTTACTTCTAAATTTTTAATATACATATCGATAACATGGAGAAATCTGTAGTAAAGTCTCCTCATCACAGCATCAAGCATCGCATCTCTTCTACTTAAATGCCGTTATGTCCGTACGGAAAGCTAAGTTGTAATGCTATTCTAGGTAATTATAACTTATCTCCTGCTTATATTTGATTATTAATTGAATTTGCTTCTAAGAAAATCGCTTTAAAAGACTTTATTCCGAATCCATTTTGTTATAAAATCTACATTAAAGCATTATACTTTTCTCAACTAGAAATTCTGATGCCGATATACACAAGCTTGTTANTACAATATTTATATAATTTTCGACGAATAAAATCCATCGGTTCGATGTTAAATCGACATCAACTACTTCACTGTATCTCAAGTGGTTACGATCTATATGTATATAGATATATATTTATATATAAATATATATCATTTATACACATCACAAGTTTATCATTTCATTTTTCTTGATCTAATTCTCACGAGAGAGAAAGGTTTGTAAACTCGAGTATTGTATAAAACCAAAAATATTTCGACATCTATCATATAAGAGTGATATTTTTTGAGTGTTTTTTCCTTTAAGCCATTTGCCAGTTGGTTTTTTTTCTTTCCCTCCCCTTCTTCCTCTCTTTTTCTACCCCCTTTTACGTCATACTAAGGGGACGATGGAAGTAAATTTGTTGGAACAATTCATCAAACTTTCGTCTTCCCCCACATCCATTTCTGGGTCTGCAAAATGTCACATTTAATGCTTAGATTATTGATTCTTCACTCTATATAGTTCTATCCAAACCTAAAGGGAATTTTAACAGCTTTCTTGGTCTCAGCTGTTAAACTTATTAGATCGTACATATTGATTGTTCAAATCTTTTCCCAAATGCACCAATTTGATTTTTCAACTACTCAACTTGATGTTATTGATGACACCTTTTTTCAAAATTCATATTTGTCTTATAACTCTTCTTAGAAAGCATTTATCATCCGCTTTCTTCTNCGTTTCTATATGTATATAAATGTGTTATATTAAAATCTATGTCATGTGTGATTGAATGATGGAATTCTTTGTTTGTTGATCATTATTTTCCTTATTAAACCCAGTAGACTTATATAGACGATACATGTTTTATTTTATGGATTTGTAATCGAATGCTTTCACAAACATAAATTCTCTTCAAATATCTCATAATATTTGACAGTTTTCATCGATTTTTATTCTCGCTAAGTCATTTAACGTCTGCTTTACTCCACCAATCGGGATTGTCACGGCATTTGGTAATAATCTGCACAATCAACTAGATGATTTTTACTGTTATCTCGTTCAGAACTCCAAGAAAAATTCTCAAAAACATAAAAACTATCGAATCGATTATATCTATAACTATTAATCAGATGTCTTTGATTTATTTCAATGTATATAACCATAAAAAATGAATTATTCTAATGAATATATTCAGTTCTTTTACTGTATAAAGTTGGATATTCCTTCGTTTGCATTGTGAATAAATTAATAAAAATTGATAAAAATCTCACTAAAATTTAATTAAATCATTTAAAATAATATATATTTACTATCGTTTAATATGTTTTCTTAATTTGAATCGAAATTATCTGTAGAATCTTTAAAGAAGTTGAATTTTAGTAAATAAGTGGAGTATTATTCAAGATTTCTAAATTAAAAATAAATGATTATTTTATATTTATTTTCTTATTTTTTAAAAAACACATTAATACTTCAAACGTTATATTCTTTTTATTATTAATACAAAAATCTTTATCCAAATGTTTTGCATGAGCATCTTTAGAGTTATTGCTGTGTGAGGATTATGTTGTTTTCTTCGTTATCTACAATAAATATATTAAGAATTAGTAGAAATATATGAGAGAATCTATGTTATCGTGTTAAAGTTAACGTATTAATATTAAATGATGAGGATAATAAATATGAAAGGATAATTTGAAGAAAGTTACGTCTAGTTACTTCATGCGTTGAGGAAATTTCGATCGGGAAACAAAAGTTTGCTTATTAAGAAGCCAAAAACGATTAAACTTTTCGAGTTCGATCGCAGAATTAACAGAGTGGAAAATAATGCCATTAATATATTTGAATTATTTAAAGCGAATGGATGCTTTAGAGAAACTTATTTCTACATAAAACTATAGAAATTTTATAAATAATATTTTAAAAATTATGTAATTTTAGATGATATTAAATACTATAAATACAAAATATTTAAGAAATTATTCAGAATTCATATAATTCATCAAGGAGTAACACGAGGAAAGTTTGCGTAAGAGCGATGCTTTCAACTCATTAAATCGTTAATTTTCGTTAAAGAGAAATTAAAATTATTAATAAATTTCGATATAAAATGTATTATTTTATTTAATTTTTATTCGTTTTTTTTAAAAATATTTTATTTATTAAATTTAAATTGCTTGCATTATTCTATACACAAGAAGCATTTTACAATTAATTGTAATGATGAATCTATTTAATTTATTTTAATAAAAAGTAGGAAAAAATATGAAAATAATTGAAGTAAACTGACGATAATTTCGAATCGTTTTGCCTCCTTAAAATATTCTTTTCTAATTAAAGCTTGAAGGCGACCTTTTTATGAAAGAAGTTGAAAGATCCATTAATTTGTTAATTACATGAATTAATTAAGTGCTACTTACTTTGTCTTTTGTTAATTTAAAGAATTGACTTAGGTCAATAGGTAATTTATACAAATCTCTTTGAAACAACGTTGTAAAAGATGACGTGTAACTATTAATTAATTATAGATGTATTTTTCTTATGTAAAAATTGACTTATCTTAAATGCAGTACAACCCCGTTTATATTAACTTTTTTTAACCTTCCTGACCTGGAAATAATGCCAAAACACTCTCTTAAAGTGTTGTAGAATTAAATTTTTAAGTTTAAATTGTCGAATTTATCATCGGAGAAGGGTAAAGATGCGCGGTTTTTTTTATGAATAAATTGGGTTTTACTGTGTTTATTTTTTTTTTGTAAAAATATTTAATGATAATTTGTATAAAATATTCTTCAATATTTACAATAAAACAGGAATCATCTACAGAATAGGGAATGATGACAGGGTCTCTGTTTACTCGGCAGGTACACCGAATACACTAGCCAGATCGTCACAGACATCAAGCCATTCAGAACAGATAAATGCAAATAGCCCAACATCCACACCAGCAACGTCACCTGTACCAACATCAAACGTCACATCTACAGAAGCTGAAGGGGATGACTGTACAACAGGTGATTGCAGAGACGACAAAAATAAGAAAAATCGTAGGAAAAAGAAGACGAGGACAGTATTTACTAGAAGCCAAGTATTCCAATTAGAGTCTACATTTGATATGAAACGTTATTTATCTAGTTCAGAACGTGCAGGTTTGGCTGCTTCACTCCATTTGACCGAAACACAGGTTAAAATATGGTTCCAGAATCGAAGAAACAAGTGGAAAAGGCAATTAGCTGCTGAGTTAGAAGCTGCACACGCTGCAGCAACACAGAGATTGGTTCGAGTACCGATTTTGTATCACGATTCGACTGCTGGCCCTCCTACGCAATCTGCAGATTCACCTAATGCTCTAGGAGCCAATCCTGCACCCACATTATCCACTTATCCTTCACTTTATTATCATCCTACTTATAGTGGAGCGCAATCTTCTACAGTAAGAGCACCGTTGCCAGGACTTGTTTGAGGATAGAATAATATAAAAATATATATAAAATATATATAAATAAATATATTTGCTGATAGATTCCACGTGGAAGAATGACTTTACATCATCATTACGATAACAAGATGAGGAGGAAGATTTATATCCGCTTGTTCAACGAATCAATGTTTTTTGCTTTAAAAGTCATATTCTGGAGTCTATGATGATGAAAACACTTGTCGAAAATATGGAATTATCCTAATTATTTATTAATATCTTACAAGAATCTTGTACATTTTCGGTTTATATTTTTCTTTTCTGAATCCTTCTCGTGTTATGATTTAATTATTTTGTCAAACAGATGATGATCTTTCATGAGAAAATTCGCTAAAAATTCGAATTTAAGCAAGCGAAAATTAATTTTAATTTCGTTTAACGTATATATAATTGTTATATCATTAAATAAAATTGCTTTTGTTGTAAATAATAATTCAATTTTTTGATTTAAAAGGCAAAGAAACCTCATTTCGTTTCTATATGTATATAAATGTGTTATATTAAAATCTATGTCATGTGTGATTGAATGATGGAATTCTTTGTTTGTTGATCATTATTTTCCTTATTAAACACTAATTATATATTCGATTCTTATTAAATTTCAAATATTATCATTAATTATAAAGTTCTCATCAAGAAAATTTAGGGAAAAATGTTCAATTTTCTGCACTTTCTTACATCGTTCTTAGTTTTATTACATTTTATCCGAAACGGTCCTTCCTCCCTCTCAATTTTCTCATAATTTCTAAATTTTAAATCAAAATTATGGATTTTTATTTAATTATTTATCAAATTTTAAATTTTTCTATAAAAATTTTGCTTTTTTGAAAAGTAAACTCCAGTTTTTCTCAACTGAAGCTTAAGAGAAGTGATGATCTTTCAACATCACTTGAATGAAATGCTGCAGATGAATTATTTCTCTTACATATTAAATGTTAAACATTTTAAGTATTTAAAGAAATATTACAAATATTGAGTAACCAATTTAATGTAATAACGATATTTTAACGTTTTCTGTTTTCGTAACAGCGTAATTTGCGTAAAACGTTTTTTACTACTAAATTTTCTCTTAATTTCTAAATTTTAACACAAAATTACGCATTTCTTTTTAATTACTTATCAAATTTTATTATTAATTTACGAAAATTATACATATTTTTAAAGATAAATTCAGTATTTTCTCAACAGAAGCTTAAGATATGAAAATGATCTTTCAGCATCTCTCAAACGGGATGCTGCAGATGATCTCTTCTCTTACGTTTTATTTGCAAATTATAACAATATTTATATAATTTTGTTTTAAATAAATTCCTATTTTAACCATACTAATGATAAATATCACAATTACATCAACGTAACATTAACAAAAGCTCATTGAAGTAATCAAAATCGTAACCGTTAAGAAGGATCATTTTATTTAATAAAATCAATAAAATTTACTGAAAATATAATCAAATTTTCAATTTAGATCATTATAAATGATATTTTAAGGTAAAAAATATGCAAATTTTTATCATAGAATCGGTAAAATTCGACTCAGAACAGAGAGAAAGACGAATTTCCAATACAACTTTACCTATTTTTAGTAACTCATAAAGCGTTAATTTCGTGTATAACAGCAAATTATAACTTTTAACATCAAATTTCATTGCCAGGTGATATTTAATAGAACATTCTTTTTTATTTCTAGATAGCTGCGGGGGTGTAGAGACGTGTATAACATCTGGATAGCGAGAACGTGACCACACGTTACGCATCCCTAGGCCATTTGACAATCTCTATAATGACAAGTGTATTCATGTTTGACCAAATTAGAGCATGTACTCTGTAATTATCCAGATAATTAGTTTTTTATAGATATAAATCAATCAAGTTAATGATCGAATAGTTATAAACAGGGTATCGAAAAGATCATAAGGATCAGGTTGTATGTGTTTATCCTATACGTGAATTCATTAACGTGTAGTCATTTTGGGAGTTAACTTTTAGTTAGAAAAATCATTTATTTATAAATAAAAGTTATTTATTTATTAATAAAATGCAAATTTTTAAAATTTTCTTTATTAATTATTTAATTAAATTTCAGTTATTCTAACACATTTTTAAGCTTATAAACATAAAAAAGCACACTAAAAACTGTATTTTAGAACATTTTTAAAATCTATNTTTTTGTATATTTTCCTTTAAAATGTTTTATTTACTTGTGATCAAATTTACGATAAATTTACATCTTCTGCATCTTGCATCACTTTATCCGTCTTTTCAATGAAAAATATCAATTTTTTTTGCTAATTTTTCTATAAATTTCTACTGAAAAAATATTTATTTTTTTCTATTTTCAAATTTAATTTTATTCTATAAACATTTTTATATTTTCTTTTCATTTTATTATATTAAAAGTATCTACAAAACTTTGTATTGATATCAACAGGAACAAACGTTTTCACTTCTCTTAAATCCTATTTTAAAGCTTTAAAATTCTTACAAAATTTATTTTTATAAAATATTTTATTTTTAAAATATATAAAAATCGTTTTTGAGATAATTTAAATGGTGAAAACTGCTTCAGAAATTCAGATTCTGCTGCAGATCCTATGGACTTGTACACAATATAAAGCTATATATTTTACAAGCTAAACCTTATTTATAGAGCTTCCTATACAATAAGCTTTTTACAGGGTATATAACTCCTTATAGTAGTATCTATAGCTTATTCTTAACACGAATATGAAACTATAAATCTCATCTTAAAGGCCTACAAGTACATAAATATATTCATATTTTATGGAGCCTATATAGGCCCAATGAAACAATCTATAGATATTACTAATTTACAAGTTCAATCCAGTATAGAGTCTTATACGAGTTTATTTATAAAAATTCGTATTAAAATCATTAAATATAAAAAAAATTTATACGTTTATACGAAGATATATAATGAAAAACTGCATTTTTAATCATTAAAACCTCGTAAAAGTCAATTGATTCTAAATTTAAGGCACTTCAAACACTTATCATAATGAAGAGCAGATGCATTGATGCATAGCTTTTGTAGAGTTACATCCTAAATATGTAACACCTAAGATAGCAGGATCTGTACAACTGTCTACCTTCAGATCCTATAGAAGTGTACTGTACTCTATAGGCTCTATCTTATGAGCCTGCAGGTTTTAATATATATTAAAGCATCTAATTGATCTCTAAACAAGTCTTTTATAGGACTATTTATAAAACTTTACAATAAAATAATTATAAATAACAAAAATAAGCACGTATAAAGGTTGAGACAGCATTTACAATTGTGCAGATGATGAAAAGCAGGTGGTGAACAGTGGTTTTCATAAGGTTAAATCCTAAATATCTTGCACTTAAAACAGGTGTGTGCCTACGGATCCTATATAGTGTATTTCTGTAGGATCTATCTTAAGAGCCTGGCGGTTTTAATACACGTTAAACCCTGTAATCGACGTCTAAACGGGTCCCGCGTATGATTATTTATAAAAATTTCCAGTAAAATAATTAAATAAAACACTATAAGTGGAGGAAGAAGAAAAACAGCATTTACAATCATCAAAACCTCATAAAGATCAATTGGTCTAAAGTTAGAACACTTCAAACACTTATTATGATGAAAAGCAGGTGATGAACAGCTTCGAGAAGAGAGGGGGAGAGTAGCGTGCAACGACGATGCTGCCATCTCGACTTTATTAAACATTAACATCCCCATACTATACCAATTAGACGTATGGTGACCCTATAGAATCCTTTAATCAGCCAGTTGCTAGAAAGTGCTAGGGCGTGGTAATACTACGTCCGTACCGTGAATATTTCAGCCACCTGCCACAGTGTGGCGTGTTATCGCTGGAAAAACGGGGCGACACCCTGACAGACAGGATATTGTTGGTTAGATTTTTCTGACAAATATTCCATCCGGTGACTTCTCTCTCTTTATACTTTCTAACTAATGTCGTTCGCTTAATATAGATAGAAGAACGATTGACGTCCATTTCTTTTGACATTCGTAAAGAAATGGACCACCCATATAACTATTTTCCATTGATAAATGCCAAGAATAAAGAATATTTTGACTTGGGTGGGACACATTCTTTTAACCAATAATTCTCTTACGAGTTTGAATCATTTTTATATAATTTCTGCTTATTTTTCCAAAATTATACGCTTTTCAATTGTATTTTTTCTTATATTAATTTTATTTCCGTCTTTTCTTTACTAATTTAAACAATTTTAATGTCTCCGGGGTCCTAAATTGCCTGTGTGCTTAATGTATAGAAAGAGCGATACGCTCTAAAAACTCGAATTTATTGTGTTAAACTTTATAATTTATTATAAAGTTATTTTAATTATTTTATAGTGAATTATGTAAAAGTTTTTCGATTTTCGGACAGTTTCGGCGCGGAAAATCGACTTTTTAGAAGTGATGAGGGCCTAAGAACATCTGAGAACATCTATCACATATCCTTCAGTAGCGAGCAAAATAATTTGCTTACACAATAGATAAACACATGAAATAACTAATCATAAGGCTACTTTCTAGTTTTTTTTAGTTAATTACATAAAAGTTTGCTAATTTACGGAGGTTTTCAGCACGGAAAATCCACTTTCAGCAAGTGATGAAGTCCTGACAGCATCCAACTTCCATCATATATCACTTGTTAATAAGCTAAAAAATAATTGTTATAAACATTTNAATATGAATATTAAACTTCTTTTATCATTAAAATTAACAAATAAATAATAAATAATTTGAAAGCATCAGAAGGAAAAATCTTTATATTTAAATAGGTGTATAAGAGAAATTCGAGCTTGACTTTAATCAAATTAAACAGTCTCTAACCTAATAAATGGTAATTACTTAGTCCCGTTCGGGATTAACACACGTTTATTAGAAGAAACCATCTGCCTTTCTGACTTTTATCAACACTTTTACAATAACAATTTGATGGATCAAGCATTAAAATTATTTTGTTATTTCATATAAGATGCAGTTTATGATATCCAATTCTGATTTACATTATGTAATAAAATAATAATGTAACAAATAAAATGTATTCTTTTAAATACATTTTATTGTCACAATTAAAAATTTGATATTTTTCTTGTAATAATTTAACTTTTAAAACACCAGTTTATTCTAGTAAACTAACAATAAAATTAACGAAAATTTCATCTATTTTTCTCCTTTTGTTCTTTTCTTTCTCCTCTTTCTCTCTCTCTCTGTTCTCTATCTCTGTTCTCTCTATCTCTT